CTTCTGAAACTCTGTCATGTTCAGGTCCATGAAGCCCTGAAACACACACACACACACACACACACACACACACACAGAGGTCAGGGTGTAAGGTGGGTCACACTGTGACACACCCTCAGCACTCTTGTGTCAGACTCACCAGGTTGTTAAGGACGAAGTGATAATTCTTCAAGTTTCTCTTCTGAGCTGCAATCTGAGCGAGGACAGAAGACAAGAAGATAATTACAAACTTAATCAGTGTGTATGTGTCTGTGTGTTTGTGTGTGTGTAACCCAAACTCTATAAAAACATGTTGTCCATCAGTATTTCTGTATTCATGTCATTGTATGGTTTAGTTCATCATGAGTGTGTTACTAAAATCACACAGTAGACCTCAAGCTCCGCCTAAAGCTTCACCTGAGGATTTCACAGAATGAAATGAACCGAGTAAAGAACAGACAGGAGGAACACCACCTGATCGTTTTTAATAAGTGCAGCTCTAAAGCGACTGGAGCAGCAGCTGATTCTGGAGAGGTGACCCAGCTGCAGGTTTCCTGTAGGTCGTCCCTCTCTGCTCTCTCTCTCTCTCTGCTTCAAACATGTCATCATCTTTAAATGTAAAATTATCTTTCTGAACCAGTTCCAGTCACACTCTCTGTGTTCTCTCGCCAGACAGTCAATTTTGAATGATGAAGAAATTAGTTCAGAATTAAAATCAAAAGAGTCGGAGCAGCTGGAGAGTAAAACCCATCAGCTACATCTCAAACTGCTCTGAAGACCGAGTCCACAACGACCAGGACCATCCTCCCACATGATAACCTGAAGGATGACCCTCACATGATAACATGAAGGATGATCCTCACATGATAACCTGAAGGATGATCTTCACATGATAACCTGAAGGATGATCTTCACATGATAACCTGAAGGATGATCCTCACATGATAACATGAAGGATGATCTTCACATGATAACATGAAGGATGATCCTCACACATGATAACATGAAGGATGATCCTCACATGATAACATGAAGGATGATCCTCACACATGATAACATGAAGGATGATCCTCACACATGATAACATGAAGGATGATCCTCACATGATAACCTGAAGGATGATCCTCACATGATAACCTGAAGGATGATCCTCACATGATAACATGAAGGATGATCCTCACATGATAACATGAAGGATGATCCTCACATGATAACCTGAAGGATGATCCTCACATGATAACATGAAGGATGATCTTCACATGATAACATGAAGGATGATCCTCACACATGATAACATGAAGGATGATCCTCACATGATAACATGAAGGATGATCCTCACACATGATAACATGAAGGATGATCCTCACACATGATAACATGAAGGATGATCCTCACATGATAACCTGAAGGATGATCCTCACATGATAACCTGAAGGATGATCCTCACATGATAACATGAAGGATGATCCTCACATGATAACATGAAGGATGATCCTCACATGATAACCTGAAGGATGATCCTCACATGATAACATGAAGGATGATCTTCACATGATAACATGAAGGATGATCCTCACATGATAACATGAAGGATGATCCTCACATGATAACATGAAGGATGATCCTCACATGATAACATGAAGGATGATCTTCACATGATAACATGAAGGATGATCCTCACATGATAACATGAAGGATGATCCTCACATGATAACATGAAGGATGATCCTCACATGATAACCTGAAGGATGATCCTCACATGATAACATGAAGGATGATCTTCACATGATAACCTGAAGGATGATCCTCACATGATAACCTGAAGGATGATCCTCACATGATAACATGAAGGATGATCCTCACATGATAACATGAAGGATGATCCTCACACATGATAACCTGAAGGATGATCTTCACATGATAACATGAAGGATGATCCTCACATGATAACATGAAGGATGATCCTCACATGATAACATGAAGGATGATCCTCACATGATAACATGAAGGATGATCCTCACATGATAACATGAAGGATGATCCTCACACATGAGGGCCGAATGAGAGCCTTTGTTGAAAAGAGGTGCCTCCCCCTGCTCTGACAGCCTATCAAAAGCGTTTGTGCCGATGACTGACATCTCTTGTAGCCAATGAAATTCTCAAACCATGGATTTGCTGTTCTATCAGTACTTCAGGATGATTTCTTCATAAACACACTAAGGAGAGTGATTTAAAGGACTGAAAGTATAAATAAGATGATATTTATACCAAGAGAGGCTCTGAGTCATGCATTATTTAAAACAGACAAAACTATGTGAAGTTAGACATTAAACACCCCCCATAGAGCTGGAATGGAACCATCCTTGTGCACGACTGTGAGACTGAGAGTCAACTGAGGCTCTGACCAATGAATCATTGGGTACCCGACTATATTGGGTCAGCCCTAATTACATTATTCACTAACTTTAAGAAATACACTTATCAAAGGACATAAAGCACAAAAAACATTAAGACTGATTGGTCATGAAGCACTAATTTCTCAGTGTCTTTAAACTCTTAAACTCTTGATTTAAACAACAACACAGATTATGATCCACATATGTTCAGAGGGTTATCTCCATCTTTATAATAATCTTAACCAAATATCTGTGTAGATATATTTTGAGAAAAAGCTTCTATTCAAACCCCACAACTTTCCTGAGAATCCTGACATCACTTGCAGACAAACAGTAAACTTTGTTCAGAAGGTTTTGCATCGGTATCATTTCTGTGTGCTAAATAAAACATCAAACAAAGAGCTGTTGATGTTTCTGGACACATTCAGAAGCATTAGATGAAAGGCATTCAGAAGAAGAAGATCACTGTCATTACTGCGAAAATAATAACAGTGAACCTCCCCTTTCCTTTCAGACACTGCTTCTGTGTGCATACAAAAGGTAAAGGGTTGGCACACCTTGTTGCCATGACAACCATGAAAGAAAAAAAGCGATGAGACTCTTTTTAGAGTCAGGTTTGTGTGTGTAGCTATGGATCAGGCCGTTTTTACCAGCTTGAGGATGGAGTTGAGACGTTCCAGCTCACAGTCGATGATGATCTGAAAGTCTTTCTTGAAGTCGAGGTCAGTCAGCAGCTTGATGAAGCCCGTTTCTGTCAGAGTGTCCAAGTTCACTGAGGTGACCTGCCAAGTCCGCTCAGCCGCAGTGTCCAAGATCCTCTGCAGCACTGACAAACCTGAGAGGGCAAGAGAGGACACCTGAATCAGAGGTAGTCACCTTTATGTGTTCATGTGAGGATCTAACATCTAACAACTTTAGACACACCTGCCCCCATAAACACCTCTACACCTGTAAACCTGTCCCCATTAACACCTGTTCACCGACACACCTCTCTCAATTAACACCTGTCCACTTACACACCTACCTACACTATTGTCCCTATAAAAACCTGTTCATCTATGAACCTGTCCTTCAAAACACCTATCCCCCTAAACAACTCTGAAGTTTTGAAGGATAAAATTGTTGTGTCGGTTGGGCCTTGAAATGGTTAACATGGTCAGAGTCACAAGAATCAAAACTTTCTAGCAATGTATAGCATAAGTGACATACACAGAACAGCAGGTGTTACCACTGACGGCCTGCAGGCCTCATCACTATCCGCCTTGTTGTTCCCATGCTGGCAGCATATTTGTAACACTGATCAGTTTGAATGTGACATGCTGAGGAGCAGATGTAAGTTACTGTGGCTCCTCAAACTGAATGTACTCTGTTTTTTCTGCGGTAGAATCTGACTCTTGTGAAGCGTGCTGTCTGCCTCGGGTTGGACTTGGTCTGATGAAACTTCAAGTAGCTGCTTCACACTGACACAATGCAGCAGATTGATGGTTTATTTTTGTTTCACTGGCCTGATTTGGAAAAGAACAAAAAAACATTGTTGATGACGATTAAAGTGAGAAGTTATGTGAAATCAGATTTATGTGAGAAGCTTTTCGGGGCAACTGTAATCTTTTATCTTTCTCCTGAGCTGTGAGCCATGATTATAGCTTAGCAGCCTGACTTTTACTCAGGTAAAACAAGAACCCTGAAACAGCTCCAGTACGCCTGTAAGTCCTGACTCAGGTAAAACAAGAACCCTGAAACAGCTCCAGTACGCCTGTAAGTCCTGACTCAGGTAAAACAAGAACCCTGAAACAGCTCCAGTACGCCTGTAAGTCCTGACTCAGGTAAAACAAGAACCCCGAAACAGCTCCAGTACGCCTGTAAGTCCTGACTCAGGTAAAACAAGAACCCTGATACAGCTCCAGTAACTTTTAACTACAAGTGTACCTGTCACTTTTAACTACAGGTGTACATGTCCCTTTGAGCTACAGGTGTACATGTCCCTTTTAACTACAGGTGTACCTGTCCCTTTTAACTACAGGTGTACCTGTCCCTTTTAACTACAGGTGTACCTGTCACTTTTAACTACAGGTGTACCTGTCACTTTTAACTACAGGTGTACATGTCCCTTTGAGCTACAGGTGTACATGTCCCTTTGAGCTACAGGTGTACCTGTCCCTTTGAGCTACAGGTGTACATGTCCCTTTGAGCTACAGGTGTACATGTCCCTTTGAGCTACAGGTGTACCTGTCCCTTTGAGCTACAGGTGTACCTGTCCCTTCTAACTACAGGTGTACATGTCCCTTTGAGCTACAGGTGTACATGTCCCTTTGAGCTACAGGTGTACCTGTCCCTTTGAGCTACAGGTGTACATGTCCCTTTGAGCTACAGGTGTACATGTCCCTTTGAGCTACAGGTGTACCTGTCCCTTTGAGCTACAGGTGTACCTGTCCCTTTTAACTACAGGTGTACATGTCCCTTTGAGCTACAGGTGTACATGTCCCTTTGAGCTACAGGTGTACATGTCCCTTTGAGCTACAGGTGTACCTGTCCCTTTGAGCTACAGGTGTACATGTCCCTTTGAGCTACAGGTGTACCTGTCCCTTCTAACTACAGGTGTACATGTCCCTTTGAGCTACAGGTGTACATGTCCCTTTGAGCTACAGGTGTACATGTCCCTTTGAGCTACAGGTGTACATGTCCCTTTGAGCTACAGGTGTACCTGTCCCTTTGAGCTACAGGTGTACATGTCCCTTTGAGCTACAGGTGTACATGTCCCTTTGAGCTACAGGTGTACATGTCCCTTTGAGCTACAGGTGTACTGTTCTTACTAAGCTAGAATTAGCTTTTAACTTAAACTATGCTAACACCTCTCTCCAACGATAGTGAAAATGCCACAAAGCCTTAAAAACCGTGGACCACAAAAGGATGAGTAGTGCTCCTTCCATCCTGGGGCCTCTTCTGTTTAACCTCTACATGCTCCCACTAGCTCAGATTATACAAAACAATAAAATAAGTTATCATAACTACACAGACGACACAAATATATATTACAATGTCGCCAGGCAACCATGGTCCCATAAAAGCACTGGGTAAATGCATAGAGCAAATCAATGAGTGGATGTGCAAAAACTTTCTCCAGCTAAACAAAGACAAAACTGAGGTTGTTGTTTTTGGAGCAAAGTTGGAGCGACTAAGAGTCAGCAATCAGCTTCAGTCAGTAAGACTTAAAACCACAGACCAGGCAAGAAATCTGGGAGTAGTGATGGACTCAGACCTCAATTTTAAAAGCCACATTAAGACAATTACAAAGCCAGCCTACTATCACCTGAAGAACACATCAAGAATTAGAGGACTTATGTCCCAGCAGGACCTGGAAAAATGTGTCCATGCTTTTATCTTCAGTCGTCTTGATTACTGCAACAGTGTCTTTACAGGTCTGCCTAAAAAATCAGTCAGACAACTGCAGCTGATCCAGAGCGCTGCTGCTAGAGTCCTCACCAAAACCAAGTAGATGGATCACATCAGTCCAGTTCTGAGGTCTTTACACTGGCTCCCAGTCTGTCAGAGAATAGACTTTAAAATCCTGTTGCTGGTTTATAAAGCGCTTAAAGGTTTAGGTGCTCTCTGTCCCCAGAATCAGAACCAAACAGGGAGAAGCAGCATTCAGTTTCTATGCTCCTTATATCTGGATCAAACTCCCAGAAAACTGCAGGTCTGCTGAAACTCTCAGTTCTTTTAAATCGAGGTTGAAGACTCACCTGTTTACAGCTGCCTTTCATTAAACAGCTTTAATAAGATTTTAAATTTTAACTCTGCAGTGTAACTTTTAACTCTTTTTATATTTTTACTTTATTTATTTAAATTAATTTCATTTGAATTATTTTATTTGAACATATGTTCAGATTTAATAATTCCAGTGATTGTTTTTTTTTTTTTTTAATGTTCTATTTTAATGTTTCTTTTCTTTCCTCTGTCCTGATGCTTTTGATGTCTTGTGTGAAGCACTTTGAATTACCTTGTTGTTGAAATGTGTGACATAAATAAACTTGCCTTGCCTTGCCTATTAATGAAATATATTCTAACATGACAGATTCTGTTCTGATGATGAAACAGGAAGCTTTCAAAACCATCCTTTGGGTTGATTCTCATTAACATCAGCAGTGTTTAAGATGTTTTTTAAGCAGGTCTTGAAAGGTTGAAATGACAAATTAAAGCTACATTATGTAAGTCCTGCAGCTTGATCCAACACCTGGGAAAGTTCTCAGATGGTAAGCTGACTTTGAAAGGGTGACGCTTGTTTATGCACTTCCTCACGGGGTATTATCTCCTACATGAAGCCCTACAGGCCTGGATAGTTAACCAATCTTAGAACAGGATTTGGAGTATGGACATCAAGGGAGAGAGACTGACTGAGGAACCAGAGGCAACCTGAGACTGACTGGCTGGATTTGACTCTAAAGTAATGCTACTGTAAACACAGACTGTTTGTGTCAACACTTTTGATTTGTGGACTTCAGTTTGACATTCTGTCCACCTCCTCTCTCTTGTTGGAGTCAGAAGTAAAAACATTTGGAAAAACAGGAAGAAGCTAAAGAGGAACGAGTTACGTAAAGTTTCCCTTTGTTATCCCCATGTTTCATGTCCTGTGTTTCCTTTTTTACCTCGATGCTTCATCCTCCACTTCCTGCCCTCCCTGCTGTGTCTCCTGCTTCTGTTACCTGATTTTTTTAACAGAGGTTTTCCTCCACTGTTTAAATATAAAAAATCACATCCCAACACGCTCAGACACATCTTTGCCCACATGAAACACTAAAATGCACTTTAAATGCTGTCATGAACACACCAAGTCAACAATGATGTACTTGACATGCAAACATTTTCTCCCTGTTCTTCTGCAATGACCATTTCATTTTCAAAGTTGTTCCACCGCCCTGAAGACTGACCAGGTCTCCTCTAAATCTGCAGACATTGGGGGTGGGGTTTGTGTGGTCAGAGTTTTGTATAAAGCAGCAGTGACCTCCGTCGTCCAATCAGGCGTCTCTGCTCTTCCACATAGTGAGAGAGTAACTGTGTGTGTATGTGTGAGCGTGTAAAAAGTCCAGTTAGCCTCGTTGGCAACAGTGCTAGTTTGGTTACGTCTGCCATCGCTCTAATCTCATGTAAACTAAAGCGACAGTTACAAAACTAAACTCTGTTTTAAACACAGAAACACCTTAAACAGAGTTTCTGAACAACTTCACCCTGGAAGGAGTTTTACTAACAGAGCGTTTACAGAGAGCTGAAACTCAAAAATACCCCTCCATGTGTGGATGAGGTCTCAGTCTCTTTGTTCCCTTCCTTCTTCCTTTGTGACAGTGTTGATTTCCCTCGAGTTGATTCCTATAACCATGTTTCCCTATGTTTGATGAGCCTTTGGGATACCTTCTGTGTACCGACCTTATTTCTGATTTAACAGACTTTGAATTGTCTCTCTCTCTCTGTTTGGAGACGTGCTTTCTGGGTTCTCTGGGTTAGGGGTTAGTCTGGTTCAGTGTGTCACATGTTACTGATTCTATGTAAATTCTTGGTTGACCACGAGAGATCAAACAATGTACATCGCTTTTATGGTTGGTTCAAGTCAGCGTAAAAAAAAACAGCATGTGAGAGTTTACAGATGGTTCCCCGTCCTCCCCAAGGGAGGCGCTGTGTGGTGGCGGCAGACGTTGATAGTGGACATAAACCTGAGCTGTTGGAGTCTTCAGCCTGAGGAGAGCCGCTCTGCCTCCAGATAAAAGCTAACGTCTCGTCTGCAGATGTTGAGGAGCAATAACATGAGACAGACAGCACCGCGGGGGCAAACACTGTGGAAACACTTCCTGCCATGGGTCTGCCACCAACTGTCAGATGGACTATAAAGTCATGGGAGGCACCAACGGCTGAGAGCAGAGGAGAAGAAGCTAACAGCCTCTTTTTCTCATTCTTAGAATTTATCTGCAACTCTAAGCTCAGAGGAAGAATTCAAAGTTTGTGTCTCTAAACGTGAATCTTTGAGTGCAGCTGCAGGGCGACAGGAAGCAGCAGCTCCTGTCAAACACCATCATTATGTTGTTAACGGACCGGGCTGAGGACCTGGTCTGGTTGTAAATGTGATAACGATAGTAAACAATGGGTCCTACAAAAGCCTCGGCCCCAACACATCAGCCGGAATATCACCAGTTTATTCAACACCAGTTAAACCAACAACACACAGTCAATATAGCCATGTCATAACCACGATAAGATTGAAGACTGAAGATTTTTATTCGTCACATGCTCATACAGATGTGCAGTGAAATGTAAAGACAGTTCCACAGGGCCATGCAATAACTCTCAAATTACTAATACACATAAATACAGTAAAATAGACATATAATGTAAAATTAAAAAAATGAAATATTTGAATATACAAAATATAAAATATAGAATAATGTAAACAGTGTAAAGTGTCAGTGTGTAAAGAAATGTTTGAATATACAAAATATAAAATATAGAATAATGTAAACAGTGTAAAGTATCCAGGGTGTCAAAGTGCAACGTGCAGATTGGAATGTGTGGTGTGTGTGCATCATGTAGTCACAGTTCTGTTTTGTTTTTAACTGAGGAGAGTGGAGTTAACAGTCCGGACAGCCGGAGGAAAGAAGCTCTTCCTGAGTCTTTCTGTGTTCGCCTTGATGTGTCGAAGGCGCCTGCCAGAGGGTAGCCATGTAAACAGTCCGTTACCTGGGTGGTAGGGATCACTCATGATCCTCTTTGCCCTGGCTGTGCTCCTCCTTGTGAAGATGTCCTGGATGGTGGGGAGTGTTGTACCCATGGTACGCTCTGCTGACTTCAGCACCCTCTGCAGGGCTCTTCAGTCACACCCAGTGCTGTTCCCGTACCACTGGGTGATGTTTCCAGTCAGCACACTCTCCACTGCTCCGGAATAAAAAGTCTTCAGGACCTTCACAGAGACTTTGAATTTCCTCAGCTGTCTGAGGTGATAGAGGCGCTGCCTCGCCCTCTTCACCTGACTGTCTATGTGGGTTGTCCATGTTAAATCCTCAGAGATCTGCACCCCCAGCTACTTGAAGCTGCACACCCTGTCCACCAGCGTCCCATCAATTCTCAGTGGGGTGTAATCCCTCTGCTGTCCTCTCCTGAAGTCCACAATCAGCTCCTTGGTTTTGCTGACATTCAGGAGCAGGTTGTTGTCCTGGCACCACTGTGACAGGTTTCCAACCTCCCCTGTATACGCCTGCTTATCATTGTTGCTGATGCGACCAACAACCACCGTGTCATCTGCAAATTTCACGATGATGTTGGAGTTGCTTGTGGCCACACAGTCATGTGTGTACAGGGTGAAGAGCAGGGGGCTGAGGACATAGCCCTGTGGTGCTCCGGTGTTGAGGGTGCAGGGGCTGGAGGTGTGTCTGCCCACTCTGACCACCTGGGATCTGTTCGTCAGGAAGTCCAGGATCCAAGCACACAGGGAGGTGTTAAGTCCGAGGTTGATCAGCTTGGAGTGGAGGGTGGCAGGGACTATGGTGTTGAAAGCTGAACTAAAATCAATGAACAACAGTCTCACATAGTCCCCCTTCCTTCTGTCCAGATGGGTGAGGTGGTGTGCAGTACCTGGGTGCTAGCGTTAGCCTCAAATCGCGCATTAAAAGTCATTCAGTTCGTTAGCCAGAGCGGCGTCTGCACTCACCGAGACATGGGCTCTTTTCCTGTAGTCAGTAATTGTCTGCAGTCCTTGCCACAAGCTCCTTGAATCACGCTGCTGGAACTGTGATTCCACTTTGTCCCTGTACCTCCGCTTAGCGTCTTTCACTGCTCGTCTCAGTCTGTAAGACGCCGCTTTGTATTCCTCCGTCCTGCCGGTGAGAAGTGAAGAGTTGTATGAAGCGGCCCGTTCGTTCACAGCGGTGCGGATAGATTTATCCACCCATGGCTTTTGGTTCGGGAAAAACCGGACAGACACCATAGGAACAGCGTCGTCTACCAGCGTTGCTATGAAGTCCGTCACAACTTCCGTAAACTCGTCTACTTCACTCGAGCTGGATTGAAACATGCCCCAGTCGACGTCATCCAGAGCGTCTCGCAGCGTAGCCTCTGATTGGTTGTTCCAGCACCTAACCTGCCTCGTCACCACCTTTTCATGTACAATCGTCTGTTTGTACCTTGGCAAAAGGTAAATGGCGGAATGGTCTGATTTACCCAGTGGGGGCAGGGAAGTCGCCTTGTAGCCCTCTTTGAATGGCGTGTAGCAGTGATCCAGTGTATTGTTGCCCCTGGTGGGGCAAGTGACGTGTTGGAAAAAGTTCGGCATAACTTTCTTCAGGTTCGCCTTGTTAAAATCCCCAGCCACGATGAGGGCAGCGTTCGGATGTTTGTTTTGGTTCCGGCACAGCACGTCATGCAGGTCCGATAAAGCTGTGTCCGTGTCCGTTTGTGGTGTAAACAGATGTAGCGATGACCGAAGTGAATTCCCGGGGAGGTGAAATGGACGGCACAGGATGGTTAGGTGCTCCAGATGTGGCGAGCAGGAGTTAGAGAGAGTTTTAATGTTTTGTGGGTTACACCAGCTGTTGTTGGTCATAAAACAAACCCCTCTACAATTTGACTTGCCAGATTCCTCCGTCCTGTCCTTGCGAAACACAGAGAACGAGTCCGATGGCATGATGTCTTGATCCGGCACCACGGGAGTGAGCCATGTTTCCGTCAGGCAGATGATGTTACAGTCCCTCATGTCCCGTTGGTATTTTACCCGACCCCTCAGATCATCCATCTTGTTATCCAGGGACTGGACGTCGGCAAGAAGGACGCTTGGCAGGGGTGGGCATGAATTCTTAGCCTGTTTCGGACACCACTTCGTCTTCCGCAGTGCTTTTTCCTCCTCCGGCCATTGTTCCCGTCCTGTGTTGTGTTGCCCAGGAGTTCGACCGGCAACCACTGATCATCGTTGTAACAGGTGGAAACTGTTTGTGACCAGTCTCCTTATGTCCAAAAGGGTATCTTGGTCATAAGTTATCTTTGCCGAAAGACTTGATGTAAAAAAGTTCACAAAAATAAGAAAAAAACACACAGCCTCAGCAGAGCAACCTGGACGGCGTCTGGACACGGCCGCGCCAGCTTCTGATAAACAACTTTCCATGTATAGTACAACAATCACAGAGACTATTTGTGCTGGTCAGATTAAAGATGACTTAATCAGATTGTCTGATAGCTAGACTAATCGCTATCTGCGCAGATGCAACGCTAAAGTGATCACATTAAAACATACTCTTGAATCTATGCTACTGTGATTGGCTGAAGAGGAAGGAGACATCTGATTGGCTACAGACATTTGCCTGCTGAAAAAAATGCATTTGTGAATCTAACCACGGCAGTGGAGTCTCAAAAGTCCCACACACAAACGCAGTGGGGTTCACAAATGACAAACAGTTTGTAAAAGCAGATTGAACAGTTTGTAATGTAACAAGATACAAATGTGTTTTTTAAATATATATGTATATTATATGTATTTGTGGATTTCTATTACATATATATATATATAAAACTATAAGTATTTGTATGTGAATCAGAACTACATTTGTGAATCTTGTTTTTTTATTTGTGGATTTGTTGTACATTTATATAGAATGAAATACATTTGTGAATCCTTCTGTGTGCATTTGTGAATATTGAGACTGATCTGTCCTATCCATCAGCTGCTCGAGCTGTCATGTCATGAGAATTGTCAGCTTTCATTTTCAAAGAAACATAAGCTACGTTGAGATGTGATAGATCAATAAAAATGAGACGATAGGAAGTACACCAACCAGGGAACAATACATCTGTCCACAGCTTCCTGCTGAACAAACTATGCTGCAATCTTTACATGAAAGTCATTCACTGTGAGCTCACCTGAGTCAGGGCTGTACATGTAGACAAACCTGGTCCAGTAGAAGTGCTCCAGCAGGGCCATGAGGGGCTCCTGCAGCTGGGGCCGGAGCTGCAAGACGAACTGGTTGTTGGTCTGAACAGGGAAGGAAGGTGTGACGAAACAGACGTGCAGAGAGCCGCAGAATGACATCAGCATGTTGACGGTGCGCCGGTCGTACAGACCCATGATGGCGTACACGCCCTTTGAGAACTGAGAGCAGACTGGGAGAGAAAGGAGAGAAAACAGAGGATATTTGAGCTGCAGCATCCGGGGAACAAAGTGACAGTGAGATCTCAGCATCAAGCTAATGAACTCAGATGGACGTCCCAGTCGATCTTCACCCTCCAGCAGAATAATGTACAAAACCTTCATTCATTAGTCAACAATCATTCATGTCTCTCTCCTTCTGTCTTTCTGATCAAGCGATCAGCTGATTTACTCTTTAAGTTCTTAACCAACCAGATTCTGCCTCGACCTCTATCGACCAATCATCCTGCTACATATTTTAAAATCTGTTCTCCTCTCTTTCGCCGTCAGTTTGTCATTTCATACGTTTTATTCATTTTCTGATCTTAATCTAAACCGTCTCCTTCTTTAATCACACACTGTGTTTACGATCTGTCTGTGTGCCGACAGCATTAATGAGTGTCGAGACAAGGCGTTCGAGACACGTCGATCACACAAACTTAATATCTGCCATGTTTTATTGCTGGTCTGCCTCCATCATCATATCTTTTTGTGTTGTGTTTCTCAAACATTGAGTTCCAACATGAAAATCACCCAAAATGAAAACCAAACTAAAGAACTGAGGCAACAACAACTGTGTGTTGAGCAGGTTCAGGTTGCTGTGTTTGTAGAGAGTGATGTAACAGCTGTTTGTATCAAATAAAATCCACCTCCTCTGTCACCAAAAGGTCTCTCTCTGCAGGGATCCTTTCTGTTTACATGCTGCAGACATTCAGTCACCATGTGCAGAGGATGAAGGAATGTTTTTAGTATTTTTAGGAACCAGAGGGAGAAATTCAAGTTTAGTACTCTTAAGCACTGTCTCCGTCATATTTAGTTTATCCTTCTTTTGAATTTTAATAGCCTCTTCTTCCCCGCAGAGCCGGAGCTTTCTGAAATGTGCCCATTGATTGTTTTATCTGCCTTAGTCGATATGAAACTCCAAACAGCAGAATCTGTGTTTGGTAATAAGCTAAGGGATGATAAAGCGTTCTTATCTTCATGGACGTGATTTCAGCTGCTGACTTATCTGCTGCTGCATGGCTGATAAATGTTCCTGTTTCTCACAAAAGGCCTCCACACGGTGAATCCCCGGATGAACAATGGATATAATCAAATTAGTGTTCAGCAGCGCTCCTTCACACTCAGGGATTAAGTCTGAACACAAAGTAGTTCTCAGTGCTGAGGCCCCTAGAGTCGTCCAGGAAATAACTGTCTTATTTTACGCTCTCCTCGCTCAGTCCCATTCAGCAAAGTCCTCTGGTAAACAAAGCAGGAGGAGAGATAAGCTGAGACACCTGTCAATCAATCACACTAATATACACTCACCTGTGAGGATCACTGTAATCTTAATTCAATTCAATTCAATTCAATTTTTATTTGTATAGCATCAACTCATAACAAGTGTTATCTTGAGACACTTTACAAAAAGCAGGTAAAAGACCTTACTCATTGTAATGTTACATAAAGCAGGTAAAAGACCTTACTCATTGTTATGATACAAAAAGCAGGTAAAAGACCTTACTCATTGTTATGTTACATAAAGCAGGTAAAAGACCTTACTCATTGATATGTTACATAAAGCAGGTAAAAGACCTTACTCATTGTTATGATACAAAAAGCAGGTAAAAGACCTTACTCATTGTTATGTTACATAAAGCAGGTAAAAGACCTTACTCATTGTTATGCTACAAAAAGCAGGTAAAAGACCTTACTCATTGTTATGTTACATAAAGCAGGTAAAAGACCTTACTCATTGTTATGTTACATAAAGCAGGTAAAAGACCTTACTCATTGTTATGTTACATAAAGCAGGTAAAAGACCTTACTCATTGATATGTTACATAAAGCAGGTAAAAGACCTTACTCATTGTTATGTTACATAAAGCAGGTAAAAGACCTTACTCATTGTTATGATACAAAAAGCAGGTAAAAGACCTTACTCCTTAATCCATGTCCCTGAGGATTGTGGATGGAGACTCAGACTGTGAGATCTCAGATGATGATGATGATGATGAAATAGAGAAACAGTTATTAAAGGTCCAATCAGTGAGATGTGTAGTGAGTGAGATGATAAAGGTATCTTACTATCTGATCAGACATTAAGGAAACATGCTATGTTGAAGTGCTGGCTTCTCTAACAACAATGCAGCAGCCAGAGAAGGTAGAAGCTTTTAAGACACGCCCCCACACGGCCGTTTTGGACGCCCCTCGGTTTGTCAGATATGAGAGCAGTTATCAGGTCAACAGGTGTTGCAGTGATGGAAGCGGTCAAGAGAAGTGGTTCAGATAGAAGTGATTGTACCCGACCTAAAAAGCCTCTGCATGTTTCTAATAAGCTCCACGAGCAGAAACGTGCTCAAACTAGGATCAATATTGGAGATGCTTTTGAAAAATGGAGAGAGATTTACATACTGCTCCTTTAGAGTCTATTTTAGACGTCTGGTTGTTTTTGTGTTGTTAAGTCTGGAGGAGATTCACTTTAAGTGGTTTTAGGTTGTGAAGGACAACCTGTCTAAAATCTGTGTGTGTGTGTGTGTGTGTGTGTGTGTGTGTGTGTGTGTGTGTGTCCTTGGTGCAGCCTTTGATCCCTGTGGCTGTGCGAACATGCTAACAACTCCCAATGGAAATAGCTCCTCCCCCTGGGCCATGCTATTATGCTAACAATAGCCCTTAGCCTTTAGGTGGAAGCTATCATGCTAACAAGTGATCTGTCTGTTAGCATCAGTGCTGCTGTAGAGCTCCTTCATCAGGAGGCTGTGCATACACATGTTTCTGTAGAGTTAGAGCATGAGTGATGATTGGTGCTTTAATACAGAATACACAAAGTCTGTAATGAATCGACATCACTGATCATTAAAATGAGGGAGCTTGCAGAAACGTGGTTTGTATCGAGCCCGTCTGTTTTCAGTGTTTAGAGGTTTAACGACTGGAAAGTGATTCTTGCCTCTTTTAAAAACACATTCTGTAACATTAGAGCAGGTCATCCATCTGATCCAGTCCTTCTGATGATCCCAGCTCGCCAAACTAGAACCTTTATGTATAAAATCTGTCACAGCGTCCAAGATCTCGTCTGGAGAAAGGTTCAGAAAAGTCCTGGTTTAACGGCCGTATCACAGCTGTCCAGGTGACACTAATTCTGAGAGGACAGCACTGACCTCTGACCTCTGACCTGGGTTAGGGTCACGCACTGAGATCTATAAACTACTAGCATGTTTAAAAAACCTGCAAATAAAACCCATTTTGATTTGTTAATGTTGAATGTGATGCGTGACAGCTCTGACACTTCCTCCTCTCATCAAGGACGCTCTCAGTGACATCACAGAGACTGAACGACCTCACTGAGAGTCCTCCAGTCACACATCTCGCTCCTCGCCACTCAAAGCTTTTAGACAGAGCTTTATTTAAACACAGCCCAGAGATGAGGACGAGCGCCACGGGGCTCACAGCTGAGGCCGCGTCTGCACACAGAGCTGCTCGTCCTCCTGACATCTGTCCGTCAGATCTGTCCGTCTGTAACAACCATCGTCAGGACGACGAGAGATCGTTCAGCTGAGAGGTATCGATGGTTATCAAGAGGTCGAGAATCACCATCCTCCTCCTGCCTTCACCACGCTGCTCTGCTGAAAAGACGAGGCAGAACACATCCAAAGGATCGGGTCACGCTTTCGCTCCGTCATCCCGCGTTCCCGTCACTTAGCTCTTCCCCGCCACTTTCCCAGAATGACATGCAGTCATCTCGCAAACAGAGCGAGCTTTGATCCCTGCACCAACACTCCACGCTGACGTTCATCCACTCTGTTTGTAGGATGTGAAGAGACTGGTTCAGATAGAACAAGAGGCAGGGTCAAAGGTCACAGACTGAAGGGGACAGAGACACTACTTCCTCCAGTGTTTATCTGACTGACCAATCAGAGTCCGTCTGGTCCGATCTCTGTCAGCTCTGTGTAAGGATGTCGGTCAAAGGTCAGACAAGCTGTCCTTATTATGACGACACTATTACCTCAGTAATAAACACCTGTGTGTATGGATATGTAGTTCTTTATTTACCTCAGTAATAAACACCTGTGTGTATGGATATGTAGTTCTTTATTTACCTCAGTAATAAACACCTGTGTGTATGGATATGTAGTTCTTTATACCTCAGTAATAAACACCTGTGTGTATGGATATGTAGTTCTTTATACCTCAGTAATAAACACCTGTGTGTATGGATATGTACTCAAATCGACGTTAAGGTTAATGTTTCATGTCTCACTGGGCTCAAACCTGAAAGTCGTCTGGAGACCCTGCAGCAGTCGTCAGATAAGCGGTGCCTTTTATAGCTCAGTGTGCCGTCAATAACAAAGAAAAAAGGGACAATCTCTCTCCGGCACAGTTCATCCCTCAATCAGAGCAGAGGAGGACACAGGTGAGGAGGAGGACACAGGTGAGGAGGAGGGCACAGGTGAGGAGGAGGGCACAGGTGAGGAGGACACAGGTGAGGAGGAGGACACAGGTGAGGAGGAGGGCACAGGTGAGGAGGACACAGGTGAGGAGGAGGACACAGGTGAGGAGGAGGGCACAGGTGAGGAGGAGGGCACAGGTGAGGAGGACACAGGTGAGGAGGAGGACACAGGTGAGGAGGAGGACACAGGTGAGGAGGAGGGCACAGGTGAGGAGGACACAGGTGAGGAGGAGGACACAGGTGAGGAGGAGGGCACAGGTGAGGAGGACACAGGTGAGGAGGAGGACACAGGTGAGGAGGACACAGGTGAGGAGGAGGACACAGGTGAGGAGGAGGGCACAGGTGAGGAGGACACAGGTGAGGAGGAGGACACAGGTGAGGAGGAGGGCACAGGTGAGGAGGAGGGCACAGGTGAGGAGGACACAGGTGAGGAGGAGGGCACAGGTGAGGAGGAGGGCACAGGTGAGGAGGACACAGGTGAGGAGGAGGACACAGGTGAGGAGGAGGACAGGTGAGGAGGAGGGCACAGGTGAGAAGGACACAGGTGAG